CTAGGAACAGTAGGCTGAAACCAAGAGACTCTGTTGGTGGATGTGTGCTCGGGTCCTAGCATGGCTGAGGAACCTGAAAGCTGCACATACAGTGTCTGCTCTCATCAAATTAAGTTTTCCCAGGGCTTGAGGGCCAAGCTGATAAGCCACAGTGTTGTGCTTCATCCCATGGAGCTTTAAGACAAAGGCAGTAAGCCTTGACAAGGACTGTTTTGCATATGCATGCCTTCCCGGTGTCTGAAACGCTCTTGTCCCCACCATCTCTCAGTTTCTTCACAGCATCATGCCTGTCTTGGTTTGGCTCTCATCTTGTCATACTTGGTTGAAACATCTGCTTCTGATGTTTAACCTAGACACCCCATGAATGTCATTCATACCTGCCACCTCAATTCTCTGTCACAGTATCTGATTCACTGCTTTAGAATTCACTAAGGTACCAAAGAGAACAGTGTTATTATTTATCAGCTCTGCCCTTCCACCAACACCAACTGTCATAAAATCGGAGATCAGGTTTGCAGTGACGTTAATATGGAAGAGGAGAGAGCCAGACACAGGCACCAGAAAGCATCAACTTCATAGGCAGGAGAAGACAGCATCCCGGATGCCAAGGATAAAGGGTCTCAAATGGGAAGCATCAGCTTCAGTTGTCAGCATTGTGCGGAGAGGTGAGAATGGAGCACTGAAACTTGGTTGTAAGCCTAGCCTTTAAGAGCTGAACCATCTTCTCAATGTCTATATGTGGATGTGTGTCTTATGCTTTTTCTTTTTGGTTTTTAATTTTTTTTAATATAATGTGCTTTTTCTTTAGATATTTGTTGGTTTTGTCTTACTTAAGTTTGTTTTATTTTATCTTATTTTTGATATTATTTTCTTCTTTCTTTTAAAGCTTTTGATACTTGCTTGTTTTCTAACAAGAGAGAGCAAGAAAGGACATGGACTTGAATGTGCAGAAATATGGGGAAGAGCTAGGGGGAGTTAGGGGAGAAGGAAGGAGGAACCATAATCAGAATATAAGGTATGAAGAAAAGCTGTTCCCAATTAAAAATAAATAATAAGGTGCTGTACACGTAGAAGTTCTGCTGATCTTGAGAGAAGTTTCAGCCAGATGGAAGGAATGGAAACAAGTCACCAAGGCTCAAGAATGTGCTACTGAGCAGCCTTGGGTAAACAAAGAAGAGAAATGGATTGTGTTAAGTATGGGAGCAAGAGGAACAATTAGCAAGAGGAAGACCTGAGATACTGGCCAAAGCAATGTCAAAGGCTGGCTCTGAGGCTCAGCCACCCTTCCTCAACTGGTCAATTGAAAAAACAAGCAACAATGAAGAGCAAATGAAGACTTCCTCAATATGGCCTCATCAGAAAGAGGAAAATTAAGACGGTCCAATGACCCCTAAGTTCATGTTCAGGATCCTGACACGGGGTTTAAGTTTAAACAGAGGACAAGAGTTACGAATAACTAAGCCAATTCGGTCACTGTGTGGTCCTGCCCGTCTCTGATAGGTGATTCCGGTCTCTCCTACAAGATGGGCACCCTGGCTCCTCTTCTGGCTGCCACCAGACTTTCACCTTTTTCTTCTCCCAGAAAGAGACTCCTGGGAGAATTCCAGTTTTATGAGGACCACCACTGTTTCAGCAGTCTGATAGCCAAAAATAATAATAATAATAATAATAATAATAATAATAATAATAATAAAACAAAGGTGGGGGCAATAATGTATCTTTAAAAAATGTTTATTTCTGCCAGAGTAGGTTCAGAAAGCAAGCTGGTGGCACTGGGGGGGAAAGGCATCACTTGCAATTTTTTACTACAGGAATCTTCAGAACATTCCTCAAACCCGTGTGTCCAGTCTTGAGCAGCACGTAGCTCTGCGTGCACTTTTTCACAGAATGACCAATGCCAGAAAACCATGAAAGAGATGGTTCAACCGTGGCATGTCATAATTAGACATTGAATAATGACCAGGAAACCAATCGCCACGTGCGTGGCTATCCTACAGGGCCTAATGTCTTTAGCTTCTCCTGATGTTTAGTAAAATCTGTGTGTTCTTATGCATATCCTTAAGAAAGGACTTAGAAAATATCTCCCTGCCCTCCGCATCTCCACCATCATCCGGTTTCAGATCTGAAGAGACGTTAAAATTTATCTAATGATCAATAGTGCATCCGAAGCAAGGATAAAAATCTTCCAAATATAGCTTCCGTTCTTTCTTTGAGTGGCAATTTTTCTTTTAATAAAGTTTATTCTTCCCCTAAAATATGACAGAGCCATAGCCAATAAATAGCATTTTTCATCTTACTACTTGCAAATCCTCGGTGAGTTTAATAATTCACTCCCTTTTGGTGGCTTCAGAAATAAAGCTCTTATCTTTGAATCTATCTATAACCCTGTTCTCTTCTACTTGCTAAATGGACATCATTTATCACTCATTTTATGGGTGCTTATCTGCCCCAAGAGAAGCTTGATCAGATAACCTGGGCCATACAAAAGCAAAGGAAGATTGCTAGGAAAGGCTTCCATTGTTTGAGAAGCTCTTTGATCTGGAGTTTTTAGTGAGACTAGAGGATGTCTCCTGGGTCTCTTTGCCTGTTTTTGTGGTCCCGTCTCAGAGACATCCAGCCCTTGTGCAGAACATGCTTTCTGGATCCAATCCTGCAGAATGGTTTGAAGATGAGTTTAATCCCTAGTCAGACTGAACATTCCTAGTTTAATGCTGTGATATAATATGACAGATTTATACATTCTTCTGACATAATGAAATGCAGAGAGATGAAGTGTTTTATTTACTCAGTAACCTCTTATTTCAGCAGGTCACTGGCTTCGTATAGGCTTTCTTGGCCTCATCAAAAAAGTCTTAAGCATCGCTATGAACACCACCCCCATCTACCATCATAAAAAGACCAAAGTGCTAGGCACTGAAGTACATAGGGTAATATATATATATATATATATACATACATACATGCACACACACACACAATAAAAAAGTAACAACAGGAGACCCAGAGATCTAAGAAACTTCCTGTCCCAAAGGCATCTGCGGCTTAAGTACTCTCTCCTCCACCTGGATACGGGACTAAGCAGAACAAATGTTTGTCAAATGAATCTCTTTCCAGGTCATCATTCACTCATCAAATGTTGCTGACCTTCTCTTCAAGCAATGTTGTTGCCTTCCAACTAAGGTGGATGGAGTTCCCCTCATCCAACAAATGGATCCAACTCTGTACCTAGGAAGAAAAGCAGTTTATAAGGCAACCAGATGAAATCCAACAGAGTGAGTCCCACAGCAGAACTCCTGGTTTTGTGAATGGGACCCAGAGAAAGATTAGGTCAGCTAATTTGGGAGAAATTGAAAATGTCAGAGACTCGTTTTTAAATGAAAATAATCTTGTCTGTCATGAACCTGCAATTGACCCTGTCAGGAGAGCTGAGCTCAGGCAGAGGACATGGGGAAGGTTTATGCTCCCCCCCCCCCCCCCCCGAGCAGTGGAGGGTGCGAAACTTGCTGGAAACTCGCCAGGAGCATGATCGATTGAGTGAAGTTAAGGGACCCTGGCACATTCTCTTCTAGGATGGCATCAGTGCTCCGCACGAGGGTAACGGGCTGCACGCCCACCCCCTCAGAGGTAGAGCAAAGCAAACCCACAACGTGGCTTTTCTATGTAAGTAGAAGCATGTGGCTGCAGACAAAATTCAGAGCCAACTCTTTTACTGCAACCATGGGAAATTTCCAGCAGGAAATGGCTTGCTCAGAGGTGTCTTGATTGGTGTCCTCTACCCCCTCCCTCCAGAGGCTAGGGAGAGAAGAAAGAGCAGGGCTCATTCTATAGCCAAGGCTTGCTGCTACTCACAGTGTGGCTGAGGGGCCACCACTTTGAAACACCTTGTAAATGCAGAATTTCCGACATCAGCAGCAACCCCGTGATTTTTATGTGCTGGGAGTTTGAAAAGCCCTGCCGTAGACTGGCTTGGTGTCGGGTTGTTGGAGTCACTGAGGGAGCTTCCTGTTATGTGCGAAAGGTCTCCACCCACACCCTTCAGCACTGGAATTACACACCTGCACCCTGAGGAGTGGCCTCTACACAGATGTTGGCGATCTGGACCTCCAACGTCTAAGTCCTCATTCTTGCCCAGGAGGCACTTCATCCACTGAGCCATCTCTCCAGACACTGGAGGAGCTTTGTCAGTGACAAGACCCCATCCTTCTGGATTCTGATTGAAATGTTCATCCTCCCTAAATGATTCCAATTGTGCAGCCAAGGTCACAAAGCCCTGGGACACCTTGTAGTTCCCCGAGAAACTGCTCAGGCCACAGATCTGGACACTGCTCTTACAGAATGAATGCTGAGAGGTCCCGGCAGCCCAGCTAAACCTCTGTTTGCCCAGGTACAGCTACAAGCAGAATGAGGCCAGCCTCTCACACCCAGGCGCCTAAGCCTCCTTCTGCACACTGGGGCTGTTCACTGTGGTTTCCAGTCTGGGAAACCCGTGTGGAAATCTGTGTGGTAGAACGAACCATTAAGCCTGGAATGCTCTCTGCTGGCTTGTTGAATTCATCTCCTACGTACTGTTGGCAATTAAGATAAGGTCCCCGTGCTGTAAAGTTAGCAGAGGAATAAAGGTTGTACAGAAGACTCTGTGATCTCCAACAGGCAAACAGTCAAACCAAAACCGGAGAAGGGTTACCCACGGGCTGTAGCACCCTGCAAATCCCGCCTGTGAGTCAGCTCGGGGAGGCCCAGCCCCTTCAGGAGAGCCTGATTTAGGATCAGCCCCTGCTTCCAGGCAGGGCTGGGCTGCTTCTCCTCATAAGACCTGGTCTTAAGAGCAACTCCCCTTCTCCCCAGCTGCCTAAAGTGTCACAGTTTGCTCACTCCCAAACCCTCTCCCCCACCCCTTTCCCAGACAACTCTCTGGTGAGCAGGGGGGGTGTAAGCCACCTCCAGCTTCTCCCTCTGGTGAGTGCTGTTAAGCAACTTCCAACTCCTCTCCTTGCGACGACATGAAGTTCCCCGGGAAGCCCAGGAGCCACAGAGCTGCTTTTCTGCCTCTCTGCTGGCTACTTTGGAAGATCCTGCAGCCAGGACACTGCCACCCTTACGACAACCGCTATGCTGGGTAAGTGGAGCTGGCTTCATGCCCTGCAAGGCTTGGACTTGCACGAGGGGGTTGCAGAGCTCTGATGTGCCTTGCCATTGTGCTGTTGCTGTCTGTGGTTTCTGTGTGACTCGGAAGGCTTTCTATAAAATGTGTAAACAGCATCCAACATTTTGGTTCAGCTGGCTGACAAAGTGCGGTAGCAAGAGTCTGGCTATCCTACTGTTTAGAGCGTCCCAACCCCAGCGGTGGCCTCAAAGTTCAATGGGAAAGTGTCTCTGGGGTGCTGTGGCCAGTCTCTGCAGTCTCTGCATTGGTTGATGCTTGGCGTAAAGGATACTGTTGTACCACGTGCAGGATGACCTGAAAATTAAACAGCCTTCTTTAGAACCGTGAGCCCCAGCGGTGGGCTAAAATTCACCAGCGACTAATTTAAGAACCGAGTGTGATTTTTTTTAAATGTTAGTTTCCCAGTGATTGTTAGATATTTCAGACCTGGGCAGTTCAAATACAAAATAAGCAGAATTTTTAAAAAGCAGAATAAGAGTAGCTGACTGTAAAAATGCTGGCATTTGTTAAGGGGAGAGAGAGGACCATAGCTTTCTCTTCTCTATAGGTTAGCCGGCTCTGAGCTGGCAATCAGGGAGGCCCAGAGCTGGGACTAAGGAAGTGCAGCACTCGGTGCGTTCTTATTATCCTGAAGGCTTGCTGTGGCACAGACAGCGTGTGTTTGGCTCAGATTTAGAGTGCTGTTCTTTAAATCTGGAAATTATAAGATGCCTGCATTTTACAGGGGAACCGTAAATACATCCTCTGGCTCCACTGCTTAAAACCACAGTGGAGAAGTGGCCTCACTGTACCACTCAGTTATCTCCGGTAAAGAGCATCTAGCATCCCAAAGAAAAGTTGCTCTTTTTAAGAATGCTATGTGAAGCTCGCGAGAGCCTGGAGCACAGAATCGTGTTTCTCTCTGTGTCCAGGGAACTAGACACTCCTCTTAGTGATCTTCCAAGTACAGGACTTACAGGGAGACATCCCCAAGCATGCTTTTAGCTGGAGAGGACGCAGGATCGAAGGAGAGGTGTTTGGTGGGATAGAGATGGGAATATGAATTTTTTTTTCTTGAGCCACAGAAGGGCATTTACATCCAAGAGGTTCTATCTAGTCTCCTGCACAGCAAGGCCCAGGCCGACCTGCAGCCTAAGGTTGTGGAGGAGTCAATCTGACCCTTCGGCTGACGTCAGAGCAGACAACCAACATATATCACCAGTTTAGATGCGCTCCATGGGGCACAGGCCCTCACTCCTCCGCTCGGCTGTGGCACTGGATATAATTACTTCAGTGTGGGGCGCTCACTAATAACAAATGATCAGGCTTGCTTCGGCTGAGCAGGTGTGCGTCCTTCCCCGAGCACCTCTGGGTGTAGGAGAAGTAGGGCCAGCCAACATCTTTTTCAGAAAGAGTTTTGAGCAAATGGAGCCTCTTCCGGGGGAGATGGTCCTGCCTCCTCTCTTGCCGTGCGCTGAAGGTAATAATCGCCATTTGTCTTAGGCTGCAACATGATAAGATTGTCCCGGCTGAATAAATTACCAGACATCTGAAAGTCGGAAGGACGAAAAGTAAGATGAGAAATGAGGAGCTGAAGGATTTCTTACTACCTGTCCATCTTAAGAGAATCCTGAGGCGCCTTGAAAGTCAGAACTATTCCGAGTATTCTGACCTCTGAAAACTAACTCACCTTCAAGAGTTAGATTTCTCCGAAGTTACCCTCTCATTACCAAGGACTGATGCTTCTCAGATTTGGGAGTGTTTTGCTTTGTTTACTTTTGGGAGCCACTTTCTACATGTTTGGCTCTTTAGGGATCAAGAATCTGGTAGGAAAATGGTAAAAAACAATGCCATCTAGCGTTGTCATTGTCTTTGCTTCTGCCTGTTTACAGTAACCGTAAACTGCCTCACTGTTATCCCTTCCTAGGTTTCGTTGATTTTCTTGTTAATAATTATGGGACAACCTTATTCCTTGTGCTATGCTAAAGATATTTGGCAGGTCTTGCCCAAAAGCAATGCTATGTGATTGTCATCTGCGGCACCCTGAGCATGAATAAAAATTAGATCATTGAGGGAAAACAGCTTGCCCCTTCGGAGCAGCTAATGAGCAAAAGGCCCTCACTACAGAAACAATAACATGTGAATAGGGCCAATGTGTATTACAGGTTTCCTTGAAGTGTCGAGGAAATAGGTTTTAAAATGAGTTAGAGAAACTACAGGCCTACAGGGAAATTTGAAGACAAAGGCTGAGACTTTTATGGATAACTATATCAGATCACACATCTACCAGGGAGATTTAGAGACATGGAAGACAATAAAGCAAGCTCAACAATTTGACTTTCAATAATATTATTCTACCGCTGCTAAGCGAGCGGAGGGCTGCAGGGGCTGACAATGCCAAGTCAGACTTTTCCACCAAAGGGTGCTCAGTAAGCAAGACTCCCACACAGGCAAATGTCACTCTGCCTTCTTTCTCCTTCTTTCTTGTCTTTGTGGAAGGATCTAGTCTTTGTGGGAAGTTAGAGCAGACAATTAATGATCTGCATCATAGGAAATGTATGGTGTGGTGTGTGTGTGTCTTGTGTGTGTGTGTGTCTAACACTCATTTAGGAAGAAGTGGTGATTTCATCTTGTTTTTGGAAAATGATAATTTCAACAATAAAGGAAAAGTGTAGATTACGAAGGCAAAGTTGGCAGTTTAATCACAGCTACCTTCTCTCTGGGGTGGGGGTGTCGCTGGTGGTCAATCATCATTTGCACCGCAGCCGGAGCCCAGAGATAATGGAGAGGAGCTCCAGGGAGAACTTCAGATGCTTCAAAGATGAAAAAAGTAATACTGAAATGTCTTTGACCATGGCCCTTCATCCTTAAGATAAGCACTATTTGAATGCTCAGTGTGTGCCGAGAACGCAAACCAACAGTGAATGCCTTGGAAAGTTGCATATTCGTGAAGGGACTGGCCTCCACACAGAAACTGTCCAGAGCATAAACGCTGCTGAGGAGACGCAGACTCTGATGAGGATCTACACGCAATGTTCCATGTACCAACACAGAGGGCTAGACCTCTCTTCTCAGGCTCAGCCCATTCTGCTCTCCCAGGACTGCTGTGTCTCCACCGTTGGTGCAAAGAGGCTTCCTACCACACTGCATCTCAAGACTCGAACCTAGCTGGTTCTGGGTCTACTCTCTGAGGGCCTCTGTGCAGTTCCTTTGTGGACATCGCTTCACGTTCAGTGCAGCTTCTTCTGCTCCTCTTTTCCTTTCTCGGGGGAGCAGCTGGGATGAGGTTGTAGTTTCCTTCATGGCTCTGTATATTTGGGACTTCTTAGAGCGGCTGGTGTGTTCCGATGAGTCATTGCTGAAGCCCCTGCTCACCCCTCTACCAGTGCACATCTGTTCACGCTTCTATAGCCACCTGTGGAAACAGGATAAGGGATTCCGAGAAGAAAGAAGGACTTTTTAAATGTTCGTTCCTCAAAATCCTGTGAGGCCTGGAGTTTGGTTGTGATCAGTCAAAAAGAAAATGATAGGAAACAGAGTAGCTCAGGAGAGTGGGCCAGCCCCAGGGACACGGTATATGTTTCCCCCTGCTCTCTTTGGTGATTCCATCTCTCAGCAGTAGCTTTGCCTCCTTTTGTGTTTTTTTGAATGCTCTGATATTTAGGAACCCACGGCTCGAGTTTAGGATGTCAGGGACCTGAGAGCTCCTTCTGGGTTGGTGGTTAAAAGTCTTTTTAGATTGGAAAGACTCAAGTCTCCACTTCTCTAGGACTTTGCTGGAACAGTCTCATTTGTGCATAGTGTTCTGACATACTAATTGACAATGTTCTCTTCCTGTCGTAGAAGAGTCTCCTTAGCATTTGACACTTTTGTTCTTACACCATTGGCTTCCTTAATAGGGTTACCTGCATTCCCTCAACTGTCTTCTTGTTTCATGTCTAGAGAACAAATTTGTGTGTAATTATCCCATTCCAGTGAAAAAGAATTTATGTGTTCCTTTTTCTCCCTGGAAATGACTGCCAGCTACTTCCAGCTACTACTTCAATCTGGGGTAATCTTCCCATGACCGACAGGCCTCCAATCCTTTCTCGTACTAATGAGCTTACTAAAATAACACATATGTTATTCTTTTGCTCAAAGGCCAACTTTGGATCTTAAGTGCTGCTTTTGCAAGCCCAGATTTTTCTGCCTGGCTCCAAGGCATCTATAATTAGACTTCCTCTGCTTCATCCTTGCTCAGAGCCCCGCCTCTCATCAGAGAAGTAGAGTTGAAGCACTACACACGCTTCTAGCCATGGAAGCAGGTAGACCTGAAAGCCTAAGGCAAGAAGCAGCCCTCTCAGCTCATGAATGAAGTGTGCTATCTGTCTGCGACACTAGAAAGCACACGTGCTGAGTCAGTTGTATTCCCCCACAAAGCGGTGTGTGCTTAGTTTCCATTACCTTCTAAAAGTTCTTTTTATTCTGCCTTAGTTAGGGTTTCCATTGCTGTGAACAGACAACATAACCAAGGCAACTCTTAAAGAGGAAAACATCTCACTGGGGCTGGCTTACAGTTTCAGAGATGTAGCCCATTATCATCATGATGGGGCACATGATGGTGTCCAGTCAGGCATAGTGCTGGAGAAGGAGCTGAGAGTTCCACATCTTGACCTGCAGGCAGCACAAGGAGACTATGTGCCACACTGGGCACAGCTTCAACTGTGTGGGCATAGCTTCACACTGGGTGAGCTTCAAAGCTCACCTCCACTGTGACATAGTTCCTCCAACAAGTCCACACCTCCTAACGGTGCCACTCCCCAGGAGCCAAGCATTCAAACACATGAGTCTATGGGGAGGCCATGCTTATTGAAACCACCACCCTCTCCTTGTATTAACGGTAGAGTATTTTTAGTTTTGCTGTGTGCTGGCTCAAAGCAAAGCCCCGAAGAACTGATTGTTTATCAACTCATATTGCAAAAGCTTTCCTCACT